GCTTGGGTTTCCAGAAGATGCTCTGCAGGGAGGGATGCTCAGCAGAGACACCAATCGCTGATGCTGTTTCTGGCTAAATAAGAGCAAGAAAACAGGACCCCCGGAGGGTGTTGAACCCGGGCACCACAGATTTGCTCCCCAGCCGCTTGGTACGGGCTGTGTCAGGCGCGATGCTGCGGCACCTTACAGTGGGGAGCGGCCTCTGTCTCTCACTGCATTGCCTGCACACCCACAGTAGGGAAGCACTGGCACGTCGCGAAAGCCTTGGGAGTGAAATCCTGCCCTGCCAGGGTCCCCCAGACAGGCTGTCTGGTAGGTAACGGGGAAACCAGAGGTGCAGAAACAGATCTGGCCAGGGCCGCAGCGGGATTCAACAGCCACTGGCCCACGCGTGCAGAGAAACCCTGATAATCTAATATAATTTGAGATGCTACAGGTCCTGTCCAGCCTCGCCTTCCCACCAGCGCTCTGTTACCAGCCTCGGCCCTGCAGCTCCTGGCTGTCAGCCCTTCTCTCTCTACAGCTTTGTTTCTTGCAACCTAATGAACCCTTAATTCAGCAGGCTTTGTCCCATAGATCTTGATTTGCCCTAGTACCGGTGGGAGTGTGCACTTTTAGGAGAGCTCTCCGTAGCGGCTGTTGGCGAGGGAGACAGCACAAACACAGTGCTCTGCCTTTACAGAAGCAAACCTCTCATCCGGCGGTGGCTAAGCTGGAGCAACGCTGCTTTTTTGCCTGTTCAGAAAGACAGAAAAAAGGCCCAAACCAGCCATAAGCATCCCACAGGGCATCACTTCGGAGGGACAGGGATTTCGTCCTGCACTAAGTCCTGCAAAGCCTGAGCCGACGGCTCGCCTGCTGCAAGGGCTGCTGCTGCCCCGCATTTCCCGAGGGACATTCAGCTGCAACATCCGTGTCCCTGGTTCGTGACCTCCTCGAGCCCTTTTGAAGGATGCTACCAACGTGTCACCACAACCGCTCAGTGCACGAAGTTCATCGTGTCTTGCAGCAACAGAGGGTACAAGTTGCACAGGAAGAGGGGAGATGGAGGTGGCAGGCAGCTGCTCCCAACTCATTTAAGGAATTTTCCCTCTTATAGGCAGAAAAAAAACAACTATTTTCCACCTCTTTTATGTACATCACCGCTAACTAGCACCATGGCCCCAGCAGCTGGCATTCAGGTCTTCTTCACTGCAAGAGGTGAAATGTATTTCAGAAGACGGATGGACCTTGCGGACCCGCTTTGTCCTCTCCCTCCCCTGTTCGCATGGTGCCGGGGGACCTGCCCGCGAGGGGCTGTGAGAGCCAGCCTCCACGAAACCCATCAAATGTAAAATGCAAATAAACACTAAACCTGAGAAATGTATTTTCACGTTTCACTGTCTGTCAGCCATAGGGATTTTTGGTGTTAGTTGTAGGAGTAATAAGTAAAACATTTTCGGAGTAGGATTCAGAAGCTGTTGGTGCTGCATGGGAATAACAACGTATGCAGAAAGTGGGATCTGCCCTGGAATTATTTCCAAGCAGAAAATAAAAAGGCCTAGGAGAATATTACAGCAATGAGTAATCTAAAGAGCTGAATTACACAGAGACCCCACCATTTCATGGCATTTCTATCTCCCGCAGCTCCCGGGGAGATTTTGGCCCAGCCTTCCCTGAGTGCTCCCCCGAGCCCCGGGCACAGACGGATCCGGGCTTTGGATACTCAGGATGCTGCTCACCCCCCCCGGCAGCACCTGCCTTTCCCTCACCAAGCGCAGGGATGATTTATTAACAGGGAATGACGGGACTCGTGTGTCCCTGTTCATCCTGAAACCAACCCGCAATGCTCAGCTGTTTCCAGGTTTCCAAGTTTTTAACTCGGGGTCAAACCTGCTGCCGTAAGAAGGAACTGGCTGCTCCGGTGAGGCTTTTGTTGTTGTTTTAAAGCAGATGCAATAAAGAGCCAAAATCACCGGGTTGATTCGGCTGCCAAAGAGCTCCATGTGTGCTGCTTATCGAGCCGCACTGCTCCTTGGGGACGAAATTACAGGGGGATACATGGCTCTGCAGAGGGAGGCTGTGTGCAGGTGAGCTGGAGCTGCTTTGTTTCCCTGCCTTCATTTTTCCAGCTGCTATTATGGAATAGGAAGGATGCAAATGGGAGGCAGCCACGCGGTGCAGGAGCGCTGCTCCCACGGCGAGCACGGTCCCCTGCCCTGCATACTCACCCAGCCCCAGAAATATTATTTAAATCCTGTTTACCCAGCTACAGGGCTCTCTGCAGCCAGAGTCCTGCTACGAGGATTTTGCAGGAGCCTCTCACGCCGGCTGAGCTGTCTATTATGTTTTCCTCCACTCTTCTCCTGTTTTGCTGTCATTTGTTCTCATATGTTTTTACCATCAAGCGGTAGCTCTCTGCTGTCGCTTACAAGCGGGTGTTCACATGAGCAGCGTGCAGCCACAAGTCACATCAGAAAACGTTCTATTATTCAGCATCCAGATAGGAATTACAAATTCAGGCTGCTTTAAAAATCCCGCCAGCCAGATTTTCCAATGCAAGGAGTAACTGCAGCCCCTGCTGAAGTCCAGAGGACTCGAAATCAGGCCAAAACTCGCTCGTCACCACCACACTGGATGAGTATGGCGTTAGCCTCATTTCACAAATGGAGAACAGCCACCGAGAGGGTGAGGTTGAGACTCACAGCTGTGCAAGCCTAAAGTAAGGCACCTAAATACGTATTGAAGCACCTTAAATAAGTGGCCTGATTTTCACGAGAGACTGAAACGAGCAGGAGCTGCGAGGGCTCGGGTTGGTGCGTGCAGACTCGGGCACCCGCACTGGAAATTTCCTCGCGGGTGGCCCGGGTGAGTGCGTACAGGTTGGCCCTGCTGCTCGCGCCCTCCTGTTGCTTCCCAAATGCCGCCTGTGAAATCGCAAAGCTGGTGCTCGCAGATGCTCTAAGGATGCAACCGTCAATGTGACACAGAGCAAGCGAGGAGGTACGCGCCTTGCCGCTGCCACCTTCAGCTCTGCATCTCCTAAGCTCATTTCCTGCTTTCTCGTCAAGGATGTTAAGACCAGAGACACTTAATGAAGACTCATCTAAGCACGGCTCTGTTTCTAGATGCTTCACAGTCCATGGGAACATCTCCTTGCCCAAGACCCAAAGGTAATGATTATTTTCCTATCTTTCTTTGCTACTCTCTCTAGGTTTCTATACCAGCGAGCACAAGCACGTCGGACTCAGCAGAGACGGACGCTAAGCCTGAAGTGAGGGCATCTGTACACGCTACAAGAGACAGCACAGGAAGACCCCACTTCTGCTGGGCCCTCGGGAGTGGGAGCAGCACAACAGCGGGCAGCGCTGAATCCCTTCATTCACCGCGGAAGCGGAGCAGCAGGACCAAACCACTCGGTGCAGGCTAAATACCACGTACCTTTGAAACCGCAGGGGGAATTTGGGCAAGCAGATTGTAATTACCTGGCCTGGCACCGGCCCAGAACGCCAGCACTAGCTCCTTTCCAAAACCAGCTCCTTACAAACGCGGGTCTGAGAGAGGTGGCCAGGATCTCGCCGTTGTGCCCTTGATGAAAGACACCACCCCGGTGTCCCCAGCACTGTGCCCTGGTGCTGCTCCCACGCTTTCCCAGGGGACGAGCGCTGCGCCGACAGCCACCCGCGCCACCACCGCAGCTCCAAGTGTCCCTCAAAACTCTCCCAGAAGAGCAGTGGCCAAGTCCCATCCTGTCACCGGGGGATGCTCTGCCACCATCCCTCTGGGGACGATGCTGTAACACACCCCGCTGCCTCTCCCCCAAGACACAGCTCCGAGAAGGGGAATGCAGGTTTAATTATCAAGACCATGAAGCTTCCCGGAGGCGATGTCCAGAGGGAGCTTGCACAGGTGAGCCAGGCAGCTCGGAGCAGGCGGAGGCTGGAGGAGCCGCAGTGCTAGGGCTCATGAGAAAGCAGGGGAGCGCCCAGCAGAACCGCACCGGGCTCTGGACGGAGATGCAACCACGACTCTTGTTTTGGAGAGGGGACGGCACCATGCTGAGGCTCAATCCGACTGATGCTGGGGGAAGCAACCCATTTGCTTTCCGAACGGGGACCGTGCCCTGGGGCTGGGGATGGTCATGACGCTGGGGGGAACGCCAAGGGGGAGGCACATCCCAGCACCCCCGGCCCATCTCCCTGGGGAGAAGGGGTGGAAGGGCTGGAAAACAGCTGCTGCGTGCGGGGAAGGGGCTCCGGCACCGTGGTTCATCTCAGGTCACCGCCTGTCTACACACCTCAGCTTAACGATGGTCGGGCAGAGCCCTGAGCTACCCCAGCCCTGTGCAGCACCCCTCCACAGCAGCAGGCCAGAGACAGCGGTGAGGGGCCCCACACCTGCCCTGGCTTGGCCTGCGTGCGCACAGGTGTACATGCATGCGTGCACGTAAAGGGGTGCAGGTGAGGCTGGTAGGGAGTGGGGTGTCAGGAGGCTGTGTGCGCGCGGATGGGTGCGAAGGGATGTGGGAGTGCACGCACGCTCAGGCCAAGCCCCGCTCTGCCCTCTCGCTCCCACCACCGCATCCCGAGGGCTCTGGGCCCGTCCCACTGGCACTGCCAGGCTGGGGTTCGGGGGGCAGAGAGAGACCCCCAGCCCGTGGGCAGGCAGGAGCGCGGTTCTGGCAGGCGTGCGGGCAGGGGGTACCCAGCACCCTCCTGCAGCCGGGACCCCCGGGGCTCGGCGGGCCAAGCCCCCCTCTCCCCCCCCGCTCCCCCCACCGCATCCCGAGGGCTCTGGGCCCGTCCCACTGGCACTGCCAGGCTGGGGTTCGGGGGGCAGAGAGAGACCCCCAGCCCGTGGGCAGGCAGGAGCGCGGTTCTGGCAGGCGTGCGGGCAGGGGGTACCCAGCACCCTCCTGCAGCCGGGACCCCCGGGGCTCGGCGGGGCTACGGGACAGCGCGCAGCCCGCCCCAGGCTGCCCGCCCGGTGGCACGGGGGCACCCCGGGACGCCCCCTCCTACCTTGCAGTCTGTCAGGCAGGATCTGACCGAGTAGTCTTCCGATTGCAAGTACTTCTCCAGCAAGAGGTCGAACTCCTCGTATTTTTCCTGAGCGTGTTGGTCCAGCCGCTGGTACGCCTGGACGCAGCTGCTACAGGCCTCCCCGCCCAGCGCCCCGGCCGCCGCCACCACCACGTCCACACTCA